CGCTTTTGTGAACCAAATGTTCACACTTTTATATATGCCAATCCGGCCTATTGTTATTGTGCTTGGGCTCTACAATTCTTCCGAGCTTGCCGAGCTGACCCCGGCATAAACCAATGCGTCAGGGCCCGTATGAAGGCTTGAACTGTGGTAATCCGTGCAGGCAGACGAATTTCTATTCATGAATAGAGCCGGCAGTGAAGGCTGTCCGTTGATTAGTGTGCCGCAAGGAGCACTCGTTTCTCCTCGTCTGCGGGTACAAAGCGAGGTACAACTCCAACGGGCTCATGAAATCTTCGAGCACTTGCCCAGGCGTACGGCCATCACATCTTTCTGGTCGGCACACCCTCACCGACGCATTCATAATCATTTTATCGGCTGACAAATCATGCCTCTCTAGCAGCTGTGGCAATGCTTGGTTTGCAGCAGCTTGCTGTGTGGCGTCTTTTCTCCAGTTGGTTGCTGGAGGCTCTGCTGCTCTTTTGTCGAGAGCGTTTTGTTTAAATTCGAATGGCAAATACGTTACATTTTTTTGAAGTATCAAATAGCTTGATCATATCCATGCATCTCTTGTAAGGAAAACTGACATCTCTCTGCATCCGCAGCTAGCAAGTGAGCGGAGAAGCTGCTGCCTGGAGGCATGCGGTGCTATCTACTATACCATTTGATCTAATGGCTACGTAGGAGGCGCTTGATTCCGGACCCAGTACAAACCCATACGAAAGCTAGTCAGCGTTTCCCAGAAGATCTCGCATCTTCTGTTGCACACGCCCCTCAGCGTTCCTGATATGAGGGAAGCAGGGCAGTAAGGATGCGCTTAGCTGCGTTGTCTAAGCGTCCCGAACATTCACGGCTAGTTGCACATGACAACTGGTGCAGACGCACACGATATTCCGTCTTTTTGTGTTGAGCTAACAGTGCACCACAGTGAGATATACTGAAAGCCAAGCCAAACCATTCAACTCCTTGCTAATTTTTGCTAATTTTTTGTTGTACATAAGGAAGCCTTTAAGTGTTACTTAGCCCTCTGCACGCACCGCGTGCACTAGAAAATCAAAGCGATGAAACGAAGCGGCGCCTCGTCCATTCCCTGATTCCTGACTTACGCATATGGCTAGCGGCAAAGTAGAGGAAGCAGCCTGTTCTTTCAATCCTTCGCTGGCCATTCCTGAACCAATGTGGCTCCGGGGCCACAATGCTTCCCCCTGACTTGCTCCTCGGTATGCGCTACAGAGTAAATGTTATAAGGCTCATGCTGGCGCTCCTATTTCTCAGGAGGTTCCTGCGCGCTCTGCTCTTATGGAATCCCCTCCCCCTTGTCGCTACATGATAGAGAGACTCGTAGGGCAGCACTAGCAGAGGCTAGCCAACGGGCACCACTACTTCAGCTGTCGCTGTTGTAGAGCAGCTCCCAAAAGACACACCGAGGCTTCCTTGCTATCTTTGACTCAGGCGCAAACTCTACCGGCAGTGTCATATCAGTGCTATCTATGCATTGCAGGGATGATAACAAATCCAGCACCACCAGCGTCCATCCCTGGCAGCCAGCCTAGGAGCAACAGCAATCACTAGCTTCCTCCTAGTCCTTTCAGCGATTACTGCACAGCAGTGCGTCAGCAGCGCCACTAGAAACACAGCCCCAATTGATGATTCAACTGCAATAGCAGCAGCAGCAGTTTACTGGGTGCGTGCGGAGGAGGCAGAGGAAGACCCGCTCCAGCAGCAGGCGCTGCAGCAGCTGCTGCTACCGCCACCGCCAACTTCACTGAAGCACCACCGGTTGCAGAAAAGAAAGGGTGATGGGATACACGATAATTCTTTAGTATTCTGACTAGCCAAGTGGCCAGCACTAAGGGAAACTGCAGTCGGAGCAGCTTCAGCAGGAGCAGCGCTGGTAGCAGCAGTAGCTGCTGCTGCAATCACAGACTCCCGGCTTATGCGTTCTTCAGCACTGCCCGCAACCCGCCATTCTCTGCTGCTTCCTGAGTAGCATTTCTCTGTCTCTCATCGCATTCTATTGTCTTTCCCTATCCAGTCCCGTATGTTGTGCTGCGGCAACAACCGCAGCAGCAGCAACCGCAGCAGCAGCAGCAGCACTCTGGGCTTATTCGCATCAGCGGCAGTACATCCCTACTGATCGCAGGGGGGTAATACTGCCGCTGCCGCCTCCTGAACTGAAGCACTGCTGCCTTCATACTTCCTTAGTGCTGCAGCTGCTGCAGCAGCAGCAGCCCCCCCACTTGCAGTTGCTGCTTCATGCTGCCTGCACAATCGCTTGTCCTGCAGTCGCTGCTGTTGCTGCTGCTGCTAAGAGGCTGACAGCTACAGCGGTCTGTCGCGAATCTACTCATTTTCTTGCTGCTCCCGCGGCTGTGTTATTCCTGCAAGAGTCCTCAAGGCACTCTGGAGAGGTGAGCCGCGGCTGCTACTGCTGCTGCTGCTGTTTCGCCGTTGCTACTCTTTCTGTATGGCAGAAGCAACCACACCATGAAGCGTTATTTTGTGTTTGCTATTTTTCTTGGAATTGAGAGGACCTCTCATACTGCCGCCGTTCGGTCTGCATATTGTCGCGGGTGCTGCAGCTGCCATAGGCGCCTCTTTCTTAGGATCAAATGCGCACCAGGAGCGGTAGCTACGATGGCATCTATTGCATGCTACATGTGCTACGTGTGCATGGTGCAGGGAGCCTATCTCTCACTCAATCGCAGCAATCCAGCATCGGCGGAAACTAGCTCCAGCAAGGTGCGGCAGCTACGGGAAGGGACTGGCGCTTTTTGATTGTTGTTATTGCAGCGGTAGCTGCTTTTGCGGAGCTTTACCAAGGTGTCTCTGCAGCTGCTACACGGCGTCGTTGGGTGCTGCAGCTGACTGCCTGTGCTCGCCCCATCGTCTGCTGTCGCTATTTTACTCTGACCCCCAGCAGCAGCGCTTGGACCGGGCGCCTGCTGCAGTCCTTCAGAAGGCATTATTATTGGCCATTCCAGATTCGTGGCCTTCTAGCAGTAGTGGCAGACGCCTCAGCACTTTGGGGCCGACATTACCGGAACCCCCTAACGGTGAAGATGAGCTCGGAGCAGCACGAAAACGAGCGCCCGGTGAGTCAGTACCATCCGTTGCAGCAGCACTGCTGTTTTTATGCGACGAGGCGACCCCACTGTTGAGGAGCATACGGGCCTTGTGCTATTTCGTGAAGTGAAGGCACTGTTGTGTACAGCAGTCGTTCTTTGCACTACTGTGTGCTGGCTGTCGCTTCTTTCATGTGCAGTCTGCACCTCCCCTCTGCGCCAACAACTGTGGCTTCTATGGAAGCCCGGCTAACAGGAACCTTTGCTCAAAGTGCTATCGGGAGTTTCTGAAGGCCGAAGATGCAGCAGCGGCCACAGCCACACCGTGCAGCAGAAGTAGGGCGCTGCCGCAGCAGCAAAAGCAGAGCGCCGGTGCTGCGGCAGCGAAAGCGAAAGCAGTAACGGACGCCGCAGCACAGGAACAGCCAGCCGCCTCGGCATCTGAACAAACGGCAGGTGCAGGGGATTCTTCGGAACCTGCTGCTGTATCAACTGAAGCTGCAGCAGCAGCAGCACGCCAAGAAGCCTCCACGGACGCTGCCCCTGCGGGAGGTCCTGCCTCTTCAGCCCCTCCATTCGCCGCCTCAGAGCCACTGACAACCGCGGGAACGCAATCGGTAGAAACGGCAGCAGCAGACGCCGCGAACGCTTTTCCTTCGGATGGGCCACAGGAGGCAGTGGCTCCTCCCTCGCCGGCGTCTGCTCCGGCAGGGAGCGTTTCTGGAGGTCCTGGCAGAGTGAGTAATCGCACGCTGTCTTGAAAGCTTTCCGCGGCTTAGGGCGTCTGCGGAGCAGTTAGGGAGCTACACGAAGGAACTGCGCAGCTTTTACGTTTTTAGGAGTTTGGGTGGACAGCGGGAGGGATTCGGGGCTTGAGGGGAAGCACTTTTTGGCTTCGTTTGTTGCGCAGGGAAAGGCGTCTCGCTGCCAGAAATGCAACAGGAAGGTGGGGTTGTTGGGTTTTATGTGCCGCTGCGGCTTTGCTTTTTGTGGCGAGCACCGCTATGCTGATGCCCACGAGTGTATGTTTGACTATAAAGCATTCGAGCGAGAGCAGCTGAGAAAGCAGAACAACAGGGTCGTCGCAGAAAAACTGCAAAAGCTCTAACTTCTTTCGCTAGGGGAAGGGGACTGTCGCGGGCTCTTGCTGTTCGTTTAGCCGCATGAGACCGTGTGTTGGAGCAGGCAGCGACATTTTTAGCAGCGGCAGTGGAGAGCGGAGGTGTTCCACATACTTATGTCGCTCTTCTGGATTGATCTGTTTGTTACTGCGACTGCGTGCGCTGCTGCGGGGGAGGCAGTGGCAGCAGCGGCTGCCTACTGCAAAGCAACATAGCAGTTATGTTCCGTGACGATATATCTAGATATAAGGCGGTTTATCTGTTTGCCCACTTGAGGGGTACACATGTATAACATCTACAGCAAATATTTATGTACATACTGAGTGCTGCCTGCGTGCGAGATATGTGTATACGTGTTTTCTGGATGGTTTAGTAGTGCTGCTCCCCAAAGAAAACGGGTGCAGACGTCTCAGCAGAACGCCTCATCGGCTGTTTGTCGTAGATATATATATATGTGTATATTCACATACTTCTAGGTGCACGCCGAACGTGTATGCACCCAACCTGTTCGGGTGTATGTGCTCTTTGCATATTTTTGCACTAAATAGTATGTATGGAATGTACATATGTATATATATATTAAGTACATATAATGTATGCATTACGCACTTATATGCCAAGCTGACTCTCTGCTTTCTCTTATTGGCGCGCAGCGAGTTCCTCGCTGAACAGGAGCAAACATCAAGCGGATGCACTTTTAATGTGTAGGATTTGCCTCTGGTCGCTGTCTTTTGCATGGAGCCCCAGAAGTAGACTTTTTCGAGGCGCATGTTCATGCGAAGGGCTGCGCTCCTAGTTGGTTTCGCAGGCAAAGGGCGCACGGCGTCCTGAGTCTACCGTCGGCTGGCGAGTGGCGGAAGGATCAGCGTCTTTGCTTGGTAGTACTTGCGGTGACGTCGGAGCCACGTAGCTTTTTAAGCCGTAATTGTCCGCAGTTGCGTAGGGGAAATCCTTGCCACCGGGTCGCGCTCCGCCGGTGCTTCGGGTGTCTGGGATGTTGGAAGGAACGTGGAGTTCCTCCAACCCTGATTAGCTTTCCCTTTGTATTAAAACTAATTATTTAGTGCCTCTCGTATGGGGGGAGGTCCATATAGTGAGCGACTCAGGGGCAAAAACATTGTACAGAATACATGCAACGCGAGCGGACACGCAGCCCCCGCAGGGGGGACCCGCGGCCTACCGGCAGGACACCTTTGCTTTTTCTGATTAACAACTATTAGAAAAGCGTTCCCTCTTTGCAAAGGTTATTTTGAATCCACAGGGGCAAGCCCTGCGTCTGATTTTGCTGCTCTCGCCTCCCTGCAACTCTCTGCTCCGACGCGACAAGATGGTATTGAACAACGCTGCGCTTTCCTGCTTCCCCGTAGCCACCTTCCTGTTACACGAAGTCTAATGCTTCCAATTTTCCGCCCTACGCACATTCTGAGGCAGCCACCTCTCGCATTTGACAGCGGTGGTATGCCAGCTCGCGCATGTGGAAGCACTGCAAGGCTCTCCAGGGGCTATCGCCCCTGTTTTCCTTCTTTGCACTGGATCATCACGCGGCGTCTCTGCATGCTGCGCCTTTCTCAGGAGGGCGCCTGCAACAAGCGGAAGACAACTGTACAGCTCACCAAGGATCAGCTGCTGGACGACAAGCCCCTGGAAGAACCGCAAGAGAATGGCGCTTCGGAGGAGCTCAGGGAGGCAGATCCGACCACCCTGAAAAACAGGCGGTGCGAAAACCCTGTCGATTGTTCTTCAAGGAAAGAGGGGCGTTTCCGGGGTTACCACGAGTGCTTCCTGGGCGTCATGGTGACTTGCTGGCATTGCTGCAGCTGCGCTTCTTTAGTGCCCCGCTGCTTTCTGGCGTTCCCTGGTGTACTGCTGCAGCCGCCTGAAGATTGTGCGGACGCACGGGCCTTCTGCGAGTGCCTCTTCGGAGCAACAACCGGCGAAGGAGGTTCTCCCAGAAGCGAGGGTGGGTGGCATGCATGTATTTCGTTGGTCCCTGTGCACCTCTGTTAAGGGCTTTTCGCGGGGGCTTGAAGCATGGCGCCTCAGGCGTTGACTTGTGGCTGGTACGTATGTCCATGCAGCGGCTGCCAGCCTCCCCGGAAGCGGCTCCTGCAACGAAAGAAGAGGTCCCTGCGGCTGCGGCCACCCCAGCGGCTCCAGCTGAAGCAGATGCGAGCAACACAGCAGCCGAGGAGGCCGCTAGCTCTGCTTTAGACGGTGCTGAGCGTGAGCTGTTGCCCTCCTCGGACAGGGGAGAAACTGAAGGTGGAAGCGCCAACGGCAGCAGCACCTTCACTACCGGCGCAAGCAGCAGTAGTAGCAACAACGGCAACACCGCCAACGCCACCACAAACAATGACAGCAGCGTCGGTGGCGGTAACAGCGGGCTATTCGGATCTGTATTGAAGGGAACCTCTTCGTTCATTAGTCCATTTGGCTCGCTCGTGAGGGGAACTTAATCTTGGAGGTGCAGCTACTCCGCGGCTGGAGCTAGGCCGCGGCTGTTCCAGTAGAGGCCTTCGCCAGTACTGTATGCGACAACCTCTGCTGCATGTGCTGCTGCTCCCGCTGCGCAGAGTGCGTCGGGATCTTCCTTCTTGCTGCCCTCAGGGGGGTCAGCGGGAAGCGCTTCGCTGTTTGGAAGCCCCCCCCCGGCGACGCCGGCTTCCGAGGCGGAGGAAGCAGATGCTGCCCCTCCAGAGGAGCCAACCGTCGTGACCACCAGTAAGTGCTGCGAACAGAAACGTGGCGAGCGCACACGTGGCAGGAAGAGGCGAGTACTACTGCGTATTCTTGGGTCACCCTTTGGTGTGTGGGTGCTCAGCTGTTGACAGCAAAGAGGAAGTGATCTTTACGGACGTAAGTTGGGCAGGGCGTCGCCGCCATTTCCGTGGGTTCTTCTCCCCCTGAGGATACGTGTCATCCTCTGACCTTCTGGTGTCTGCTCCGGTTCTGCCTCGGACTGTCGTGGCCGAGCCGGACGGCCTCGGTCGCGTCATGAGGATGCTGTTTCTCTCCCCTCCTCGTCTTGTGTCGCAAATCGCCAGTTCGTAGTCGTTAAATTGCTCTTGGCTTGTGTGCGTTTTCCACGGCCAATGGCTGCCGCTTGGATTAGCAGTGTGCATGCTCTGCGACTCTTTTAGAAAGAACTTGGGTGTAGCTTCTGCCAGCCTCATGGGCGAGGCATATGAGTGGGTGGGCAGCTTTCCCGTGCCGTTTTTCTGTATGCTTCGGCGTCTGCCCATAGAGAGACTGCCGCATGCAGTGCTTTGACATGGAAAAGAAGGCATGGGCTCCCAAACCACCTCTCGACGGAAAAGTTGACATTGTCGTACCCAAGGCAAGGATAATTAAAAGCTGGGGATTCAAGTGCTGTGCCTACTACGCGATGGAGCGAGCTTGCTCTTGGTGTCCAGCATCTTTGTTGTTGGGGTGTCGGGATGATGGCAAACGACCAGCTTTTCAGGTCTGTCGTGGGTCCTTCCCTTGTTGGCATGCGTTTTCGTTTGCCTGTGCGTGCGCGTTGTGTGCTGCGGCCGCATTAGGAGGGAGAAGAGGAGGGCTTGCCTAATGCTCGTATCTTGTTTTTTGTAAATCGCACCGGGCGCCTGCGGCTGAACTCCCCCGTGCTGCCTTCTTCCGTTAAGTTTAGGCACCCTGTAGAGCGAGCTGCACTGTCGACTGGAGCGGCGGCAGGAGCCGCTGCCGCTGCCGCCCCCTCAGAAGGGGGCGACGCAGCCCAAAAGGAAGAGCAAAAGGACTTGCCACTCAAGCTAAATACTGTGGAATTTACAGGGCTTAAGATCGATGCAGGTAGGTGTTGCTAGTTGTTTCCTGTTGACCCGTTGTTGTAGGTGGCTTTTCTTTTGATGTTTCGCTAGTCACGGTCATGCATGCTGCACTGTTGTCATCGTAAAGGCACGTATGTCCCCGCCAACGACAGTGCTGCCCCCGTCTCCTGTGTCTATAAACGCATGTGTAGTCACGGCGAGCTGTGCTTTGTCTGCTTGTTGGAAGCTTGCTGTACGCGTGGTCTATCTCTCACGTGCCCGTGTGTGTTGCCACCCACTTTCTGCCGTTTTGGCTGTCTACTGATTCTGGCGCTACTGCCTTGCCATTCCGTGTTTCCCCTTTTTTTACAGAGAACTCCAAGGATACGACTTTTTATCGAATTCGGTTTAGCAGCGACGCGCGCGCAGCCGAGTTTGTTGCCTTGGCAAACGCGAAACAGGAGGAGGCTTCAAAGGCCCTGCACGGCGGCACTAACAATTAGCTGATCGCTCAGTGCAGAACCTTTTAAAAAAACTATTGATATGAAAACAAGAATAGACATCTCAGACCCCTTCGAAGGAGCGAAACTGAAAACATAGGACGCTTCACAGACCATGCATGACTGCAGCAAAAACAGTCCTGAGGAGGCACATAGCACCCGCATGGTAAAATACAGCTCCTTTCATCAGGAGCCACACTGCGGTTCTGTGCTCATGGGAAGAGTATATGAGGCCCATGGCTCAGATCCTAATTGGCACATATTTACACAAAAAGGTTGGGCCACTTTTTGCTGGGGCAGTGTCCGTCCCGGCTGTGCTGCTTGCCTGTCTGGGTCTCTGATGGTATATAAGCAGCCGACCCGCGAGTGCGGAGGGAGCAGTTTGACAAAATGACATCCCTCCACGGCTCTCCGCCCCTACCTCATCCTCAATGTCCTAAATCTTGCTGTTCTTTTAGATTTACTTATGTCAGAGGGACTCTTTTGTCGTGCTGTTGTCCCCGCTGTAACGGACGTAGGCGCGGGGCAGGCGCAGCAGCAGATCGAGGGAGGAGCTGGCCAGCTGACGTGTGGATTTGAGGGCTCTGCGCCATACGCTGGACACCTGGCTTCGGGGCTCTGCACACAGGCAGGCAAAAACGGGGCAACACCTAGGGCAGCGTTTGGAGGACACAGTTGACGCGAATCCGCTAGCAGCAAACGAGTAGACGCTTAGGGCACGAAAGAGAGAGAGAGAGCGAGAGAGAGACAAGAGCCGCAACTGACAGCCACATGCCGCCTAGGGAATGCCACTGAGGAACGCAAGTCAACGGAGTCAGAGGAAATGCATGAACGCTCGTGCGAAAGGGCCCAAGCGAAGCCAGCACAGACAGCACCGTCCCCGTATATCGTGTTTACGAAAAGGATTTGTGCTGGCCGAACACAGGAGCAAAAAAGGCAAGAGTTGCACTAATAAACTGCACATCAGTACATTGGACCGCAGTACGGGCAAAAGGTCCACTCCTACGAGCTGATGCGATGCGAAAAACGCAGTCATGCAGAATCAAAGCTCAAAATTGTTCGCATGTTCTGCCTCTTACTGATGATATGCTGGATGAGGTCAATGAAGGCGACGGTGGGGTTGAAGGCCGACGGCCTTGTCAGAAGCAGCAGAGAGTCGGCTGTGAAGTAGGCCTGCACTAACCAGCTGCGCAAGTCCGAGTATGTTGACTTCGGGCTGGCGGTACTGTCACTGGCAGACCCGTCCACGACCAATGGTCCCGACGTTTCGACAAGCTGCCTCACGGCGGCGTTTGCGGCATCCATACCCACTGCGGCTGTTTTGCTGAGGAGAAAGGCAGCAGCCTTCTCCACTGCCTGCTGTTGCAGCTGCTGCATCATCTCTCTCAGGCCGTCCTTTGTCGTACTTGGACTTCGCAAAAGCAGTTCCAGCGCATCTAGCGTCAAGACGCTGACTGAACTGACGGCCATCAGCGGCTCTTTCGTCTGGAGGACGGAGATAGCCTGAGGCGCCCGCTCTAGGGCAGATGAAACGGCCTCAGCCGAGACATCCGGCCCGATTAGGCGTGCAACAATTAGCTTGTCCCACAGATAATCTAAGAGAGCTGCAACAAATAAGGCACACCACCCATTCAAGCTGTAATCGCCACAAAACGCGCATTAAATTCGTTAGTAAAGCCGTAAATCTACACTATTCTGGCCACGCGTGCAGCCTATTCTGTTATCTCCTCCATCTAACAGTTGAATGGATGCTACAAAGAGAATAGGCCAACTTTCGCTGCAGTGTGTGTCCACCCCTCCCTTCGATTTAGAGCGATAAGCCCGTGCGCTGCATCACCTTGCTCTCCTTTCGCTTGCACCAACTTGACGTTTTCAAGACCCATGCGCACAAAATACGGAAACAGCTTTTCTGCCTCCACCATGCTGTGCTCTATCAACACTCTTGACTGGTGTTCGAGCCAAAGAGGATGCGTGCAAAGTTCCTGTCTGCCTTCGCGGATTTGCTGGGACTGTGCTTGGGCCTTCCATACTGCAGAGCCCATCAGTTCTCCTTCCGCGGCATTCTGCTCGTTCACAGCATGCGCTGGCAGGTCGTCGCCTAGCCACAGATCGGCTCCTTGCTTGCATGCAGAACTTAACACTGCCAAGTGATCATCCTTGAGAAGGCGTTCCCAGGTCTGTCTTAGGAGTATCAAAATATTTTTCACGGATGATGCCAGAAACAAAGTGGAGTAGGACTGGCCACCTCCGTTTTCCACTTTTCTTTTTTTGAGTGGTATTTGCATTGCGTCAACCGGAAGCCTAGCCTCAGAGGTTTGCGTGTGCCACCGGTTCCCCCGGCGTCTCAGAGCTTTGATGCCCAGCAGCCACCGCCTATTCTTTTTCCTGGGCCTCCCAAGGATGGCGATTTCAAGCAGCTCAACAATGCGGTCAGATATGGCGGTGAAATGAAGCGAAGAGAGCTGCGCGATCGACAGCAAAAGATGGAAAGTGGAGGCGAACGCTGATGTATGGGCGTCGAATTCAGAAATCTGTTTCTCCAAGTAATCTGTGATCTTCTTGGCGTTTTCCAGCGCTTCACGCTTCGCCTTTATCGACATTTCCACCTCGTGTTTAACCGAGAGTTCCCTCTCCGCTTTTCTGTTTTCTGATCCTGATACGCGCGGCGGCACTGGCCTCGGCATTTGGGATTTTTCGCTCGCGGCCTCGACAGCGCTTCTCGGAGTCGCTTCCGGATCTCCGTTGTCAGTTGGTCCATCAGACATGGGGATTCTCTGAGCTGGACTCTGCTTAGACGCCATGTCTAGCGCCGCTATTCCTTTGTGTTCTGAGAGCGTGCCTGTTGGTTCCTTATCCTCAATGCCTGTAGCCACAGCTGCAGTTACCCTGTGCAGCCCATGGCCCTTCAATGCGGATATACCCGATGCCTCTTCCTGTGACCCTTTTGTCTCCTTGTCTTCCACGGTAGATGCCGTTGCCTGCTCGATTACGTCTTCTGCATCCGCCAGTTGCAGTAAAAGGGAAGATATCATCCGCAGGCGGCTTACTGTGTTGACGGGAGTCGTGTACCAAAGCTCAGAACTCCGGTCTGCAGAGCAAAGACAACAAAAAGACGCCCAAACGGCCCCCTTGCTTGCAAGGCTAGAACAACGTATAGCCTCTGAAATACTAAGAGTGCCAGCGCACGCTGTTCGTCGAATCATACCTTTCGGTGTGCATTGCAAGGGAGACGCAATGGAGCCTTCTCCATAGGTCTCAGCTCCCAGTCCGATGATTTCTAGAGACTTGATGAGGGGAGCATGGAGCATGAAGACTGCTTTCAGCTCTGACAATGCCTCCGTTTCATCAGAAAACTTCAGGGCTTGAACGACCGCAAGCAGAGACTCAATGTCATCAAAGGGAAGAGACTGCGATGTGTCCTCCACTTTTGGCTGAAAGTAAACGGGAGACTCCGAGGAGATAAGCATCTCTTTCAACTCCCTAAGCACTTCCAAGATGACTTTCCTCATCTGGACATGCTTTGGTATGTTCAACACTGGAACTACCACAGTGCAGTATAACAGTATCGAGGCGCGTCCAAGGGGAGGCAGGTGCATCTCTTGCGCTGCTGCACAATCAACCAGGAGGCCAAGCGAAGCTGCAGACTCAAAATATTAATGCTTACATTTGCAGACTTTCAGGGGCCTGCAAAGAAGGCTACGCGTCAGCACCGCAGGTCCACTATGTCACAGCAGGGAAACCGCATTACCTGCACTCGGCGGGGAGGATTCCGGTACGGTGAAACTAAGCAGGGCAGGGGCTGTATGTATGCCCAGTTGCTTGAGAGGCTCTTTCGCGGATGCCTCCAGCAGTGTGAGCGCTTCTCTGGCTTTAATGGCCAGCTTAAGCCCTGCCTGCTCTTCAAAAGCAAGCCGTCTTTCTGCGATGAGGTACTTCGACTTCGACTTCTCGGACTGATTCACGAGATATGCATAACGAGAGAACAGAGAAGAAAGGTGAGGGCCAACGTAGGGAGAAGCAGAGTTTGTCGCGTGTAACAGCGTAATGTAGCCTGCAGCCTGCCGCACATGCTGCTTGTATGCTGGGCCGAAGTCAACGCTCGCGGCTCCCAGCTTTGCTTGCAATTGTCTTATTAGTCCTGAACATGCAGACCACGCACCTTAGAATCATATCCGGTCAGGTGCTGTAGAAAGCCAATCCTGAAGTATTTTGACGGTTGGTGTTATAACAGACTTGCAAGGAAATTTGATGCTTAAAATTGCAAGAGGGAAAGCCAAAGATAGACGCCTATCTCCACCAGCATCGCATGAACGGTCAATTCAAGTTGTTGGGCGAAGCGAGTCGGTTAGATGCATACGTCTCATTGTAGGCGAAGGAGTAGGCATCATTTTCATCTGTACAACAACTTCTGTTCCCTCAATGCGATCCATTAGCGGCTGCACTGCTACCTCAATAATAGATCGAATACGTCCAAAGGCAACAAGCGCCATTGGATGCACCAAAACTCGACTTGGATACAGAGACTGATCGGCAAACGCCTCAACAGCTGCCAACTGCAAAGTCCTCAAGTACTCGGGACCGCGCAAAATGTTAAATACTCTGAAGAGCAAACAGGGCAGTGAACGGGCATACCGCACGTTGCATGTTGCATGTTAGTCAAGGGCGGCAAAAATCGATGAAGCGGAAACGGCTAATTTCAATACAACCAGCAACGTGCTCATGGCAGCACTGCAGGTCGGGGTGTAGGCAGAGCACACGTACACACTATTGCGATGGTGGTACGTACCGACGACCAAATATCCGTTTTGCGGATTCGCTTCGGATTTTATGCATCAAAATTTTGATGCCGCGCGTCACTTTTTTCTTAAGAACGGTAAAGGCGCGAGCAGCAGCTACGCGTAGTGCGGAGGCTCGTTCGCGTTCCTCTCCTTTTCTGGGTGGCTTCGCATTCAAGTACACTTTCCAGGAGTATCTGTTGGTTTTTTTCGATTTGCGCAAAAGCTGGGTTACATGGCTCAAGTATTTAAAAACCGCCTCCTTTTCCTTTTGATCTGGAACGCCCTGTGTGAAATAAGGATGGTGCACAGGAGAGGCGTTTGTCACGATACATGGACGGATGCCAGCAGCCGAGCTCACACAAAAGCAACAATGTGGAGGGGTCTCTTAGAGCCATCTCGAGAGAGGCCCCAAAGTGACTGCTTTGGCACGGATGCAACAGCATGGGCCATATAGATATTGTGCTCTAAGGGTGTTTTCGAGGAAGTCACTTCAAGGAATCGTGTGCGCGCACCGTCTGGCGTTTCCCCAGGAAGCGAAGCAGGGCACATTGAATGACGCCCGCATCATGTGCGTCTAATTTGGCAGAGTGGGGTTCGTCTGGGCTTGTGACTGCGCTGTTGTGTAATTCTTCGCACCAGCTCTCGATAAGAGGCTCACTTGTTCCTTCCTCGACATGAAGGGCCCTACTGAAAGCAGATTTTCGGGAGTCCTGGTGAATGGGCTCCAGTGGCTGTGATGCTGTTGCGAATCGTTCTTTCGGCTGGTGGTGAAACACAGGCCTCTCTCCTGTCCTTTGCTTTCTCTCTGCGTATTCGTCCCATAGAATAGACTGGAATTTGCCAAACAAGCTCGTGAAGCCACTTGTGTTCCTCTCCACCACTCTGTAGGCTTCCAGCGCAAGCGATCCACTGGCTATCAGCGCCAAGTCGAGCAGCCCGGAGCGCAAGCTGCCTGCGCTCAAAAAATTGTTAAGATACACATTGGCTACTCATGCAGGCCGCTCGGGAACCCGAGACTGACAGCGCTGCGGTGTTCGGGTGGGTGCCCGCACAGTCAAGACGATGCGAAATCCTCGCGGGCGCCCGAAGCCACGGACGGATCGATATACGTCGAGCAGGGCAAGAAAAACGACTGGAAAGGGTTACACAGGAAAGGTGGGTAGAGCCTCACCTGCCACGATGACTGTGGTCTCCAGAGACCTGCTAATAAGACCTAATACCGCTTCCGCTGACAAGTCAATGGAATACAGGCCTGTGTGTTCAAAATCTGCGAATTTAGAGCTGTCCGGGCGCATGTCCGACGAAAGTGTATGCTGCACGAAATCCCAATCCACCGGCGTGGATGTGTTGAAAAAGTACTCCCACGTTTCTTCTCTGTAGAGCATGCGCTTTGTCGCCACCATCAGGTCTGCCACCTGCGTACCGGCCGCACGGCAGTTCGGGCAGGAACAGACACAGGCGAGCGCATGCAGGTAACGATTTCAGCGTTTTAGCCTGAAGAAACTCGCAATGATCGTTTTATTGGGGAAGGCATCCTCTGACATGGCGCGCCCACTTCGCCTGGACTCTAAAAAGGAGACCGCTTTCGGCGAGTGCTACGCTGCATGCATTCATGAGCTCGCGGTGGTGGCGCACATATTTGATTAGGCCATGCCGCCTTTGTGCATTTCACGGCGGTAGGCACCTAGACAGAATTCGGAACGTACCAGGACCGCGTCGATCCTCGGAATGCCTCTAGACCAGAGCGCCGCCTCTATGAGATGTGCAACCTTTTCGTCCTCCTGCCTGCTCCTTAAGATCACAGACGCGTCTACAGCGAAGCCTTCAATGTCCTGTACACCAGGCACGCTTAGCTGGCCGCCTTTTCCCTTCGTTTTGTACCACCCGTTGAGGCCAACAAACTCGAATTCGGGGATGCACAGCTGTTTCTGCAATTCTTGGGACAAGGGCGGCTCTGCAAGCGAATAGACACGAAGGTTGCACACAGATCCTGGGCTTGCACTGAAGTGATTAGAGGTGAAGCAACAGCGCGGAATCGAATAACCCCTCAGACGGATGCTGCACTTAAAGTAGGGCAACCTAGAAGGCTCTGAATGCTCAGCTAGCTATTTCAATTTTCATCGGGTCTCGTGAGGTCAAAGCTTTGCTGTTTGCCCCTCGATGGCGGGTGGAGAAGAACGAAAGAGCCTCTCCCGCCTGTGGACGCGCACCCGGCCTAAAGGCCTTGACCTTTCCCATATCTGTCGTCAGCAAAAGAACTGATCCCTCCTTATTGCACTGAAGACGCTCTAGTTTGAACTGCAGGGGCAAAGATGAGCAAACACCAGAGAGCAATCATTCTGTGAGACGCTGGCAAGGCAGCATGCCTTATCACGTATATTGACTCGCTAGGAATACGGAAGCAGAAAGCATACACGACTGCTGCGTCTTGCGGAGCCCGCATATTCTGGCCCAAAGACCCCGCAGTGCGCATGTGCGTAGTTGCTCTGGTCTTGGCGCTTGCTACATCCGGTCCTGCAGCAGCTAAAGTGAAAAATTGCTCAGGAGCAAGCTTACGGTTTGCTGAAAAAAAGTGCTTGTTACCATGTGGTCCGAAGACACTAGGAGCAGACACACACACAGACACAGACACCACATGCACAGCTAGCTCTATTTCTAGTTGCACCCCGCTGCCAAGTAATTCAAGTGCATGCAATCAGCTGTTTAACTAAGCTTTACTGCATCTATCTATGCTGCGTGTGCTCTGACTGCCGTGGTTGAGCTTGCTGCCGTGCAGCAAAAGGGTCTCCAGGCCAACTATTCCACCACAAAGCACCTGCTTGTTCAATTAAAGATAGCTCCTCCTGTGACAACGGTTGCTCCTTGTCCGCTCTTTTGCCGCCATCTGGGAACAGATGTTTTATGAGCATGTCCAGGCCCCAACTGGGCTTTCTTCGGAAAATATTCAGTCGGCGGCTCCTATATCTAAACCAGGCGGCGTCCTTGAAGAATGTCATGAAGTCCTGCGTAAGGTCTTCGTTGGACCACGCGGTGTGGTCCTCCTCCCCAACAGATACCCCGAAGTGCGCGGCCACCAGAAACTGTAGCACTGCGAACCGAGACTTTGTGGCCTCATCGAAGTTGTAGCAGGAGTGTTTCTGCTCAGGCCTGCACGGCTGCACCCTTTCCTGGGCAACAGCGACCATTACCATCTTTTCAAGTCTTCCAAAGATATTGTTAAATGCTGAAATGAGCTTTGACACGGAGCGTCTAAGCAGCGACATCATCAGCAAATCCCTTTTCGCCGCATATTTTTCCAACAGAACGTCCTCAGCAGCCGTAGTTGAATAGTCCTCAACGGCTGCGGCCGTAGGCGGCTCTGGCACCGCCAAAGCTAGCTCGAGAGGCACATCTAAACTGGCAAAAGCCTCGAATCGCTCATTGACCAGAGACGGATAATCGGAGGAAGGCATGTTCAGCTCTTGCACAGCCTGTTCTTTTTTGCTTTGACCGCCTTGCATTGCAGCCACTCGCACCCTCTCTGTGCTTTCCGCGGACCGAGGTCTCCACATGTGCAGCTTTCGCAGCTCCAAAAAACTGACTGCGGCGAAAAGAGATAAGCAGAATGACGAGCTGGTGACGCAATTCGCCCAAGCGCCCTACCTCGCGTGCGTCCTAGAAACTTTTCTTAGTGGCTAACTGTAGCGGCTCGATTATCTGTGACGGCTGCCTGCAAGCACTAAGGGCGTACACACGTGAATGGTCGTCTCACCGATACCAGCTAACCCAGCGGTAATGTTGTGGACATCCTTCTTAAGCCCTGGTTTTATTGTCACAAGGTTGGAAAAGGAATTCGCGATTTCCTCCCTCCTGAACGATTCGTTGATGGTTTCAATCGACACATGCCCGCTCTGGTTGCTCAAGGCCTCTAGCGTAATTTTGGCGGTGTTGTACATTATCGACATCAGATCTGCAATGTAGGCCCTGAAGGACACCCAGCTGATAAAATTCAGGGCGCCACGACATCGCGCAGCAAAAGACTCTGTCCGGCGATACGTATTCTCGCACTGTAAAAACGCAGCCATACGCACTAAAACGATTCGTTCATACACCTCGGCTCTGCCCGCTTAGGCGGATTGCTGTAAGGGGGCACTGCAGTACGGCCTACCCAGCAGCAGTCACAGCCCTGGCTGCTGGCACCCCTGCTGGACCGTGTCAGCGCGACGGGGAGCGTTCCCTGTTGGGCAGCAAGCCATGAGATTGCGTCAAAAGGGATAGCGCTAAACTTACAATCAGCTTTGTCTTCGCGAGGACCACCGATTGTTCCTGCATTTGCAGGCACACACCAAAGCACCCGTCCAACCTGGTGTAATACATGAAACAGCAAGTACAAACGGTTCTTCTTCAGCGTTATTCTTATGCTGAGGGTTCAGACTGCGTGGTAGCGCGAGAGACAAGAAAGACCATAACGAAAATAGAAAGGGGTGGCAAGAGCGAAAGATGAAAATAGCGCTGCCGTGCAACGTGACTTTTTCAACTCCAGGGTTCTCTTGTGGGCTTGAACGCATGGGTTTTTTATTGCTGCATACATAACACTTGGTGGCATCATCCTCGTATCCTTCCAGGTAGTCTGACTCCATGAATAAAGAAAACTCCCTGGAAAATTCTACCACTCCAGTGAGGAAACCCTTAGAAAAAACTTCACTGGAGAAGGTAGTAAGGGGTGGGAGGGCGCTGCCAGCTGATTTCGCTGGGGTAGAATCCAGCTGCCACATTTTTGTCAGCATATCTGCAAATTTGCTTTTGAAAGCGTCCTTCAATAAAGCAGCGCCCCTGGGATCTCTTTGCAGTCGGAACACTGTACGCACGACACAGCCACATGAAACTACAATGAATGCACACTTGCGTCCTCGTGGGTGCTGGTGTGCTAGTGCCTGGCTAGAGGCGGTGCAGCCACTGGGCGCACAGACAGCTGCCGACACGTGTAACGACACTCTTGAAACGCTACGCTTACGCTGCGCATGCATGTATACAGGAATTGAAGTGTTTATGGCCTTGACTGCGATGAAGCTGGCAATCTTCGAGAGCAGAACCGGAATTCCCATGAGACATGCAACCCCCATCGCTGCTGCCAACCCCCCTGTGAGTGCCAGGAGAGGAGGAAACATTATCATGCTAAATGAGCGGATGAAGTACCGAATAAATGCACCAAAAATACCTCCTGGAAACCGCGGCCCTGGGGCCGCCACGTGTTGAATCTGCATGGCCGTTTTCAGGCAACCGGGTACCAGGCGTGCTCCCGATTCACTGACATATCGAATGCCTAAGCCCAAACTATGTACTACATACAGAAGGCTGTGAGCCACTGTGAAGACCGAATCTGACGCAAGGGACTGAAAAACACTCGCAAATCCATTTTCTGAGGACGCAAGCGCAACAGCAGCAGCATGCGCGGGAACTCAGTCAATAACCGATGCTGGCTGCCTCAAGAGGCACTGGATTACGAGGTTCGCGCTCTCGCGAGAGCACATCAAAGCCAAGAAGCACATGCGAATGCTTAGTAATGCATAAAACACGCGCTATGGCTAACGCTGGCAAGCTTCCATGCACGCTCTGGAATCACGCAAGCTTGGCTGTTTAGGAAACTCCATATAACAATCTATTTTCATAGGCTTTGCTCTGGTTACCCAAGGGCTCATTTGCAGCTTACGCTTCCCATCTCGAATATGACTTATTAGGTCTTCTACAGCGGATAAGAGACTCTTATCACTCTCTAGGCTTGCAGTCGAGATCCCTGTGCATTTCTTCAAGATCTTCAGCACAGCACGAACTTCTAGTGCGGCTTCTTCTTGGGTTTTGGGTGGCCCTGCGAAGATGCCATTGCACCGTGCTGGGTAAACTACTGGTCTTAATGCCCTTTTTTCAAACCACCGTAACTGAAGTGCTCCAGATCGCCCACCAACAAAACAAGGGTAAAACTCACTGCTCTTGACTACTTTTTCGATTTGCTTCACAACCGTTTTCATCTGCTGCAGCCCGGGAGAGATGCTACCGATTATCGGATTACAGATGGCCAGATAGCGTAGCGCACCATGCGTCTGGGAGTAGCTGAAGGCTGAATTTACGCATGCAACAAGCATCAACAAGATGACCTCAAGAAAGCGTGTAGGGGATGATGCCACCCCTTGTGCCTGTCCAGGATTGAGATGGTGCAAGAACCATCCAACTAAACCTTTTGTTGCGGTACGTTGCATATTTCAAAAAGCGCACTTGGTTTGGTGACTCCTCTAATTGCCTCTCTGAAGGCTGAGTGATACAGCACCAGAGCTTCATGGTCTAGGGGGTCGATTTTCACGTCTACCAGAGAAGCTGGCTTTAGAGCCTCGTCTCCCTCCCACAGGGTACCTGTGTGACCCAGCATATGCAGCAGATCAAGCAATCCCTTCGAACCCTGGGATATTTCTGCAAGGAGCCTCAAGTCACAAGGCCAAGACACATGCAGCCGCTAAAGCATACATCACGGAGCCTTGCACCACTTCCGGTAGCCATCGACTACCTTGGAGGCTTTCTAAGTGCTCTTCGCGTTGTGAAGTATACTTCTCCCTTGTTGTTGCGGCCTGTTGGAGACATGGGAAAATGCTATGCCCCACTAGGACCTTCCCTGCTTGCATGCCATTGCACTCACTACCAAGTGACGTCTTGGAGGGCAATCCAGGCTGGTTGAAAGGCTTTATTTCAGGAGCCGATGCTAACAGGAGTTTCCGCTCCCGGCTGTGCGCGGAAGCCACGGAGAAGGCGATGAGCCAAGTGAAGAAGGCTACGCTGGAGACGCCACTTGGGGCCATGGCTGGTGACAAGTGCAGAATCGCAAGGCAGATTTACATTCATTTGCTAAAGGGGTCAAACTTTCGGGCATTCATGCTTATTCGGCCATCATACATGTGGGCCTCTGGTGTCGTTGTCTAGTCACTGGGCTCGCACTGCTTTCCCTTGTTGGGGCAAAACTGCCGCAATAAGACCTCATAACAATTGAAATACCCATTCATAAAATAAGCAAAAATTACCTGAATTCGAAAAATGCACGGGGCTGCTAGGGGAAGCTCAAAAGCCCTGCACACATTCGGGCATAGGCGGAGTAACCAACGGCCCGAAGCCACTGGCCCGAACCCTTCCTGGTGTCTACTAGCAGGCGCGCTATTACAAAGCTTTATATAGGCTTCAGAGCCACCATGTGTTATCGTTTATACTGAAAGTTCTTAATTTATGCAGATTCAAGCACAATAAGCAATCAAAACCAGCGCTCGTCTGTCGACACTTGAATACTACGGTCAGGGCGATTAGCATACAAGGCGAGTCAGAGGTAAGTCAAATTTGTGCTAATCGCCACCCATAATAAATATGTATAGTAAGGTGTCATGTGTCGCATCATGCAGCTCCAGAGCGAGCCTTCTATTTAGCGTGGCACAGGCTGCTGTCTTGTTGGACCCTGCAGCTCGTTTACATTGACGTAGCAGGAAAGACAAGAGAACCAAGGCCTTCAGACGAAGGCTGAGTATTCAGCACCTCTTTTTTAAAAAATTCCTTGGGCAATTGTATGCACATAGCACCTGTGCACAATTTTAATGACCAGCCATGGTCTTGAGCCTATTTGCTTAGAGGCTCCAGCTGCCACCGTTCATGGGAATTATACGAACACCGTCAGAGGCATTGGGCACCAAGGGAACCATTTATCAGGGGTGTTGATGTGTTCACTGCTGTACAGGTCCCTGAGATTTGGGGAATGTGCATGCCAACCCTAAAACTTATATTTGGAAAATGACAGCAGACGATGCTAGGTGGCTATTGCATCATGCCATTAATTTCTTCGGCTTGATTTCTACCATAAAGTAAATAGAATTTACTTCTATGTAGCTTTGATGCAATGTAAACATCGCATATAATCTTAACGTAAAGGCTCTGTCTTGATTCTGGCCAAGCAAGCTAACAAGCGCAAAGCGCCAGCAGCTATGCTTCGCACGCAGAGCGTGTCCTGTTCTGCCCTAGTGAATGCTTGCCCAAGGGTAGCGCCCTAAGATTTTCGCAGCAAAGTTTACTTCAAAAATGACAGCATACGGAGAAAGTTGAGAGGAAGTGATCAAACCAGAAAAGGAATTACCTAGGGATCTATGCAGCCTTTCAGGGGAAGAGGGATTTCGCCTCACAATAAACCCAGGAGACAGCTTTAAAAGAAATAGAGGACACCGCCAGGAGTAAGGGGCAACGTTTAAAAAGCGGTAGATAACAGTGTGGCAAACGACTGTTTTTTCTGGCTGTCTTTTAGTGTACAGATGTGCTGCGGGGCCGGCTCACAAATGAGTTCAGTGGGTAACAGCGCTTTGGACACTAGAAAGATGTAGAGCAGGCGGCTTACGTTTGTCGATACGCTTTGCTGAGCTTCAAATTTCCAGGGCTTTAGGCTCGGTAAACTAAGCTGATCTGGGCTAGTACAGCTCAAAAGTGGAATACACGCCCGCGTAAGCCAGATTTTCTCTTGCAAATATTAGCACCGCAAAACGGTCCCACCTAATGTGCATCAGAAGTCTGTATACCAGGTGCCTAGCACAGCCCTTCACATCTCAACCACTTGTGCCCGCAATAAAATCAAGGCAAGCGAGGGTTCCCGCTAAGTAAGATATCTACGATATTCGGGGTGCTAACGAGGCGCCACGGACCGGGAATTACTGGAGCAGTACTCGACGGGTGCAAGCTATACCAGAAGGCCTTCGCTTGCTTTGTGCCAACTTGAACGTAGGAACTTGTTTCCTTCAAAGTGCATTCTGTTGGGTGTACGTGTCATGCGGTCATGTGATATCCAAGGTCTCCTGCAGAGGTGAGCGAATGCAATTTACCAATGTTTGCCTTTATGATCTCCTTACTGAGGCTTATAGTGACAGTCTACGTCTTGGTCCTCCAGAAATGGAGCCAGCTTTTCAGGCAGCCGGCAATTTGTCTGTCCCCACATGTAGAAAGGTATGAATGCTCCTTCGTGCTGCTGTCTAACGAGGAAGATACATAGACCAACATGTATGGGATGAAAAGGCAACCAGAAATGCCGCAGGTACGCCTGGCCACCCCAACTTGGGGGATTAAAACACTTGGTTCTGGGCCAGATATTCGTGGTATAATCTGCGGCCCCACACTAGAGACGTTAACTCGCCCCCTTGTGCCTCAACTGCTTTCCGCAAGGATCTAATTTCCCAGCCAAAGCAGACAGCAAGCCTCAAGCCGTGCAACATGGCAGTTGATTACACGAGTAGGCATTCCAACCTCCCCAGCTTCAGGCACTAAAGCTGCTTTCTGCCGTCGCCAAAGCAATGCAGACAGCGGTGAGGAATTCTCTGGAAGAGTAAAATTGCTGCTCAGCGAACTGCACAGCAAGCCCCTCAGCCACTACGTGTACCTCAACTGAGCATGATATCGCTATGGGGTACCTGCAAGCTGCGTCGCCAGAAGCCGCAAATATTTGCCCGCAGGAGACATGGACAAGCCAAGTGCACGTAGCAAGACACGCGCAGGCGAAAAATACGTTCGCAGCCGCCCATCTTCATGCTCCACCCGGCTCATTTTCGGAGACTACAGGCTGTAGCAACAAATCGAGCGTGGGGCCCAGGGGCATGGTGCCGTTCCTTTGCAGAGCCTTGCAGAGCGAGTCCATATCCAGCTCTTTCACCTGTCGACCCACAACGGAACAGCAGCCGCTACGCCTCGTTTACACATCTCTATGGAGCCCACATTGCTACAGCTACCTAGGCCACCAAGCGGGAATAGCGCCTCTGATTACTTAGAACTATGAACGCTAAAGGGCAGCGGAAAACAAATGAATAGTCTGTCGCTGGTGCCCTGCAGCAAAAAACATTGGTAAATGCATACATCTCCAGAGGAAGAACCCGTGCTGGCGGCTTGCGCCGAAGCATCCCCAGAACCTCGGTCATAATGAGGATGCACACTGCTGCCGGGCTGCCCCCAAGGCGCGCCCCTGCGTGCAAAAGGATCTCCTCTAGAGCTGGCGAGGATCAACTTGGCCTCGTCTACTGCCTTTTCAAAGGCGACTTGAACGGCGACTGACAGCAGGCGCGTCCTGAGGCCCGACACAACACCGAGAGAAAGCGAGTGACTGAGCGGCGCGAGAGATTCGTTATGGGCGAGGGGTGCTCACACAATGCGCATGAAGCTAAGGACGTGGTACATAAAGAGACTGGGTTAGGATCAAGTCTAAGAGCTTACGCCGCAGAGTCTGTCGTGGCGCAGCCCACACGACTCAGATGATAATCCGCCACTTCATCCAAAATCTGAAAAGGGCAAACAGACATCAGGGAACACCAACGAAAAGGTGATTTACAATGCAGAGTGCCTGGACACCAGAGTGAGATTTCTCATGTGCGAAGGAAACTGGGGAAAAAAGGGGATTGTAACAAATTGATCACCGCAGGTTCGTAGACAGAGAGCTTCTGAAGTAGCTGCTCGTCACGAAGGCCCAGTACTTCCTCCAAATTTAGAGCTGATTTGTCCATAGTTGGTGACCAGGTCGATTTCTACTTGCTGGCAAAACGCAGTGTCCTCATAGCGGGGTATTCAGGTCCACCAAGACACTACAACAAGGGGCTTCATGTGCTTTCTATCTGATTCATGCACGAGAGCAACCAAATCATCAACGATAAGAGGACTGTTATAGGGACTGGTCCTGCCAGAGCCTGCGTGCACTTTCGAAACCAAAAGACAAACTGTGACTTCTGCTGATAAGTCAGGAGATGCCATCTCAGTTGCCGTCCCCCACGTATGTGAGAATATGCAAGAGTGGGAACGGCATGTACAGCTGCTTTTGAAGGCAACAATTTATCAACACCTCAGTAGATGTAGTACGAGTGGAAGGTAGCACATGGGTTTCCTGCTGTTTGCAGGCATACAAATACTTTTATTCACTTCCACAAGCATGGTCAATTGTGTGTTACTCAACGGGGAAGCCACCGTTGCATGCAGCCCCATATAGTGTAATGGTCCTCCCACCAATGGCTACGTCACCCTTTGCCAACTGCCATATTATCGGACTCGTGATTCTATTACGTCGAGGACTGGGATCCTTTGGCAAATAACGAACTGGAGCTAATTTTGTTGTGCGAGCTTTTAAAAGACACACCCTGCAGTCCCCCTTTTGCTGGGCTATAGCGAAAGGATACGAAAGTGCGTCGTAGTATATTTCTTTGCTTCGTCTCCTTCGGCTTTTCCCCTAATGCTCTCGATCCTCCTGCAGATGGCTGGCCTTAAGCGCAAATGTGGCAAGGCCTCCAATACGCGCAACTTTACACCTTAGGCTCAAAATTGACCAAGAAGTCTCTGGCGTCTGCACTGGAGGACGCATTGTGGTAGTATCCTTCAGTATTATCATCTGTGTTTTGGTGACCGTCGCGTTCACCCGTTTTGATCCTTTGGGATGGAGAGTGCTCTTCCACTACGGAACGCTAATCCGGGTTTTCCTGTTCATGCGTTTTCTTCTTTGCTGCAGCAATGGTGGCCCCTCCATCTACCACAGTGGAACAACACATCGCAAACCTGAACAGCCTCACGCTGCCCCAGTTCGGGTCCCTCACACGCCGAACGGAAGCGGTGGGGCGCTGTCCCTTCAGCCCAGCAAACAAGTCGTCACTCCCTCCTTAGTGTCCCTAAAGCACGTTTTTAGACTGATCACTAGACCACCAAAAAAGTTGAGTTGTCTCTTCTTTTTGCTTCGCATGGAAGTTCTCCTCAGAGCTACCACTGATCTCGTAAAACCGAACTGTTGTGCACTCGTCTGTCTGTCGTCCGTACTCCCTATGTCTAATGTGCCCGCACGAATTTCCGGCTTTTGTTCTTCTTTTACCTTCAGGAGGTGCAGAATATTTCAAACCACTTGGTACAGTTGCGAGTTGCGGCAGCTCGCCTCGAGGAGTCCCGCGAGGCCCTGGTTCAGTTCGACGCATATAGGAAGAGGCAAAAGGAGGGAGAAACCCCTGAAGTCCTTGTGCCACTTACGGGGGCGCTCTATGCCAAGGTTGGCGCACACACGCTTTTGTCGATCTTCTTTCCGTCTTCCCAAAGCACGTGGCCTTTGTAGAAGTCGCACAAGAAACGTGGCTGTATTCGAGACTACGTACACTTAAAATCGCGAAGGCGCAGTTTCTCTCGAGCATCTTGTTGCGCGCCCTTGCAGGGACGTTTACAGTGCGAGGACAAGGTGCTTGTCGACATTGGAGCAGGCTTCTTGTTGCAGAAGACGTGTCAAGATGCGAAAAGGGATGGCGAGAGGTGCAAATTGATTATCGTGTTTTATCATCATTCTGCTGCATTCTCTTGAACCCGAGGCGTCTCATTTTAAACCAACTCTTCTGGGTCGTAGGATCCGACTGCGTCATGCTTACAGCATGGGACTTCACTTTTAGGAGTGAAGACGTAGGTTGCTGTGTTTTTGGTGGCTTGCAGGACTTTGAACCTCGTGTCAGAGCAGCAGGGAAAGCTTGAAAAAATGCTGGGCGAAAAGCAAAAACAACTCGATGTGCTCGTTGCAACGATGCGACAAAAAATGGTGGAGCAGCAAGCTGCAGCAACTGAGAGCGCCTCTGCTACCCAGCAGCGGGCTGCAGCATGATGCCTTACTTTTACGAGTTTTTAGCCGTTCGGGGCGATCGTGGGTTTCTGCGCTCCCATTTTCGCCCCGCACCCAACCCCGATGCTCCCCCCCATTCCCAGCGCCAAAGTGGCGCCTTCGTAGCAGGGTGAGAGGCGACGGGTGAGCGCGAGTCTCCTGGCGTGTTCGCCTTGATCCCTTTGGGTTTTGAGGGATGATTTGCAGGTATGGGGTGTACACATTTGTGTTTTTAGAAGGCGTGCTGCTCCGGGGAAGGCTGGAGCAGAAGAACAGTCGCTGCGGGCTGGAACGCCATTTTTGGCAGCAACTCTGAGACAGAAAGGAAAAGATTCTGAGTGATACAACGTATTGGGTCGAAACGAGTGTAGTTGCAACTCGCATGGCAGTTTGCATACAGCTCTATCACGCTCACTGTCCTGCAATGAAAATGCAGGCCTCACACTTGAAAAGCAGAAGACGGATTTTTTTAAAAATCAGCGAAGAGAGCGTGCTGCCTCATTTAGTAAGAGTGGCAAACACTCGAAGAGTTCGAACTAGCACTCGTCCCTAGCTTGCTGCAACTTTTCTTCGAGCCTCTCAAAAAAACAAGGCCCTCGAACCTTCTCTCGAGGTGCGCTGCATTCCTCTGTGCACTGTTGGCCCCCAGTTTCCCTCTTGCACCTTTCTAGTTTTTGAGGCTCGAAGTTATGCTCTTAAGGTCACATCTAGAACAACAATAAAAGTAATGCTCATGGATATGTCGAGCTTTGCAGCGGCACTGCAGACTCAAGAGTTCGGCGCTGTTAGAAAGCAGTCGAGCCATTCTGGGGGCAAGGGGCAAGAACAGCAGTAGGGCGTTGTGGATATGAAGGCGTCGCGGAAAGGCACAACCGAGATGTACTGACTGGGTACTTGCATATCTCGGTGCAGTCCCAGAGTAATCCTCAGTCTGTACCTGCCGCAGTTACCTTCAAACAACAAGGCGTTGGTTTGGTACTTGATGCTTCGCTTGCCAGCTAGCCGTCCTAAGAAACAGCTACCTACTGCCACAGGCTGTCCTGTGCCTTGCCGTTTCGATGGAAACTGCAAGGCAGGTGCGTTGTTGCACAGGCGGGAGGACTGCGTCCCTGCCGACTGTGCCCTAACCGTTGAAACGTGGGATGAGAAACCTCCGCTGATCCTGTTGCTGTCTCCTTGATGGAGAGAGAGTTGCACCTCTTCCTTAAAAATTTCTGCGGTTATCGGGTTCTTTGAAAAGAGATAAAAGATTAGCATGCGGCGAATGTACACGATGCCGCGTTCGTCTGGGATAGGGAGAACCACGGCAGATGTATGACCAAAGAGATCCAACTGTAGCACGTACGGTTTCTGTCGTCTGTCCGAAGTAGAAGGAGCTAGGCTGTCGTGTAAGGAGTCTAGGAAGAGCATGATTCGCCACTGATGAAGCGCTGCGGGCAACACGATATCGTGGGGCTGGCCTTCCGGGTGGAAAGATTGAATTGCTTCTCCTCCTCTAAAAGCAATTAACGGGCCTTGTGCGCCGTTTGCCGGCGACAAATCCGATTCCCCTCCCTCGGCGTGGCTCCCTTTTCCAGTGTCATTTTCGTGCCTTTTAAGTGCTACTAGGATTTCAGTGTCACTAGCTAGCGCCGAGGGCTCGTCAGACAGCCCCTCATGTAATTTGGCCACAGACTTTGCGCTATCCGCCGATTGGCAGGAGTTGTCAAAGGCTTGCAGCAACTCGAACAGGTCAGGATCCTTCATTGGAAAATTCCCCTGGATACGAAGAAAGACACGAAGGCGTGGCTCTGATATCACGGGTTGTGGGAGTAACTTCGTACAGCATTACTTAGTGCACGTGGCAACCGTCGAAAATACGCAAGAAAACAAATAGTTAATACACACATGCATACACAGCTAACACACACGTGCACATAGTTTCATGGGCTGCTCCAAGGCCTGGTGTGAAACCACATTCCACGCTCTCCAACAACTTCGAGTATTTTTGAGCGCTGTTCTTAAGACTTGAACTTTTGCACAGTCTCAGGAGTGCGTATTTGTCTATATAATGTGGTAAAGAATGGTTTTCACTTCATTGCTAGTCGAATATTCGCGCATGCTCTGATTAACCTCTTCGGCTCATGCTGTTTTAGCTGGTCTGCGAGTTCTTGTGCTCGAGCGCCCTACATCCGAGTAACTGCTTTAGCTAACGTGCTTAAGAGATGGCGTATTAAGGAGACACATATCTACTTTTTTACCTGAAAAGCTTCTAAAATGCCAGTGACGAAACAGAGTTTTCCGGCATCTGGACTGATAAGTTGCCCGGTTTCCTTCGCTAGCTCAGCCTCGAGCTGGATCAACTCCTTCTCCGCTAAGTATAGCGAATAACAGGTACCGCAGACAAGGGATTCAGCAGAAAGTTGCTGGCGTTTTGCCTGATGAAAGAAGAGAATATCTACTCCTCTCTTGCGCATATGATGTTGAGCTTCCAGCATCATACGATGATTTAGCATCCGAATTAGAGCTTTCTTGCTCCGGTTCAAACCGCACATGGCGCACACTGAAGGCTGTACTAATGGCATCTGCTGCTTCCGCAAATGTGCACCTTTGATTTTCACGGACTCGTCTAATATTTCGTCCTCTATGGCATGTCGAGTATCGGCGACCTCCAGGCCTGCGTCAACCCGTGGGCCCGATTGTCTCAAGGTAAAAGCCTTGACCTGCTCAGCCCCAGGCAAATAGGCACCAGGCCTATAATTTTAACTTAGACCAGCATGGAATTTAGGCACGAAGAGAGCCAAATAAACCTGTACAGAAAGAATTTCCGTAGAGTAACCGAAAAGCAATATGGCGCTGCGCTTATGACAATGCAGCTGTCTGGTTAGCTGTTCCTGCTCCAGGAGCTCCAGTATCCAACCAATCTCACCTGCAGGAAATACCACTCTCCGTTCCATCCTTTCACAAGATCCACCACCAACGACTCCAGCCAAACCTTGAATAGCGTCTGTGTCACCAACATCAGCTTCCTGGCAATCCTAGAGGCTTCAGTCAAGCTAGCTCCAGATAATTTAAAAACATCGAAGGTGGCACTGAATTCTAAGACCTTTCTTTTTGTGGCTTCCGCTGGTGAGACCTCTTCCTGAGGACCGTATTCACGGTCCTGCGACCTCCGAATTGGAAACGCGTTGTCACAGCTTACGCAAAACTGCCCAGTTATGTCTAAGTTAGCCTCACATGCCTCTTCGGGAGTCAACTTGTTGACCAAAGTAAAGCCTATTGGCGTGTTTCCCGCTCTCCAAGCGACTCTAGTCAGCTGACACCGCGACTGCCTTTTTCCATGAACAAAGACCTTCAGGAATCACGCACGCTCCTAGTTGTGCAAACTGACACTGCATTGAGGAAATTCGGCACGAACGCAGCGAAGTTCTACCAAGTTTTGGCTTAATATTTAGCCGATCATCAGCCATAGATAATTAGTGCGGGCGTATAATGCATGAAAGCGTTATCTGCAACCTGTTTTGCCAGAAAGGCTAATAGTGTAGGGAGCTTTTCAGGCATTGGGCTGCCAGGGTCTCAAAGAAAAATACGAGATATGAGTCACGTTTAGTGGCACCACACCTGAATAAGCCGCTCTGAGTTGGAGTCTGCCAATAGAGCAGACATGCTGGGGAAATCCAAAGCCTTGCTTATATTCTTGCTGGCCGCTGCATAATGAGCTTGTTTTACTACCGCAGCTGGGGCGACCATTGCTGCATCACGCGACCTCCGTTCCAGATCATTTCGTCTGAGGCCGAGTCTTGTGTGTTGCTTAAATAGGCCACCAGGGAACCCCAGCGCGGCCAGGTAAAGGCTTGCGTTTCTTTCAAACAGCTTAGAGGCGGAAAAGTCTTCTTTAATTAACCAGCCAGCAGAAGCTGTTTCGGGAAACCCAAGCTTCTCAGTGCATTTGATACTCGGAGAGAGAGCAACGGAGTTGTTGGTGATATAATAACATTCAGATGAAGTAGCATAGAGTGTGTCTGGCAGCAGGACATCGAGTCTCTTGCACAAACGCTCCACGAGTGCAGGCGACTGCCGGCGGTATGTAAGTAGTGCTTTCCACCACCCGTTGGCGGGCTGGGCTGCTAAATGTGCATAGTACTTGGGATCGGCGTGCGAGAAAGTGAAACGCGATTGGAATTTGTCAATGCGTGATTTCCTAGCACCCGTAAGCGCCGTTTTGCGTTCCTGTGCATCTACAGTTCTAAAGTAGGAGCTAGCTGCTTGAGCTTTTTGTGAAGTACTGCAATGAAGCCTATCTTTACTCATATAACTTCGGCATGTGCTGGTTTGGGGCCTTCTCTTCCGCGGTTCATTATCCAGGAGTGGCAGCAGTTTTTCGAGCTTCTGGTCACTGCGACCGCCCTGGCTATAGCTAACTCCGAGCTGCATTTGCAGGGTCTTGCAAAATTTCTACGCGAGTCCCCCCGCAGAACACAGCAAGATCCCTACAGCTTGGCATGCAGATTGCTCGACAGGCCAGCTGGCATACCATACAAAACATAGCTTCCATGTGGTTAGCTACGTGGGCAGCGCACAGGGTATTGTGATTACTCAGTCAGCAATCTAAGAGCTAGGCATGAGTAGAAAAAAGAATTCACTGCGAGGCTAGAACCTGTGCCAGCAGCCCCATACAGTGCTGTGTCCATTCCTTGCTGCCTCCGCTGCATCGTGACCGCGATCCTGTGTGTTTATGCCTGAAGGTGGACACATAAAACAAAATAAAGTGCATGATTTTCATTTATTTGCGTATGGAATGATATAGTAGCTCTATGGTCCCTACTCCTGAGCCTCCAGTATTGCAGATCCTCTCAAGAGTGCTGGGCAGTTTAGAATCCCATAGTTACAGACATATGCAGTAAGTTCTTATCAATCACTCTATTTACACCCCCCTTTTCGACGGCTATATGGTTGATCCTGTAGACATGATGTGTACCTCATAGTTTTAAAATACGTTCTAGAAAAGTAAGTACATTAGTCAGCCTCCTCAAGAGTGAGGTCACCCCTGAACTGAAAGACATGCATCTAATCAGCGGTCGATGCAAAATACCCGGCACGATGAAGTTTACAGGGTGTTAACCCAGTGGTAATTTAGATTTATAACCATGATAAAATACTTCTGCGTTACTAAGCTGATCATTTTGCTAGACAGCACGTCGCGTATGCCGCCTGCCGCCCGAAGGTCTTTGCTTGCAGTGGTACGCGCAATGAATGCGATATGCCGGGCATTACTTCGTGATGTTCCCTAAATCATGCTGTCTAATGGTGGGCCTGAAGGTGTCTAGGAAGTGATTGGCACAGGCGATTGCCCTTTGACCCTGATGAAAAATACTGAGGTGAAAGGGTCACGTCGGTTGTTTGCACTGCGCATGAAGAGACAACGAAAGGATACAGATCTATACGCGGTCTTACTAGAAATGACTTGCACGAACCTCTACTTATTGCATACTATCGTTCACCCCTCCTGCATATCGGACTTCAGTAGCTCAATTCGTCTAGTACAGCAGCGTCCTGACGTCGCTAGAGGTGTCTACAGACATTAATCCCGGAATGCAGTTAGTATCAATTTTGAGAGCAGCGTTTTTTGCCATGTTCAACGTTCTGAAGACAAAAGTCAGCCAAATGCATGGCAAACAAATACGAATTTTCCTCATGTCCTCATTCTAACTAACTTCCTCATTTTACGGGGTTGGCATAGAAGGCTGCTAAGTGTCCAAAAGCTGTACACTCATCAGAGTATTCGCAGCAATCGTTATACACCTGCTAATGCGAACTGCTTACCAAGTACAGGGTACGGAAACTTCATTCGTGCTCAGTCCTACTGTGGATGGCTTGGCACCTTTACGCTAAAGTACATCCTCGACAGTGCTCAGCATCCAAAGAGTATGAGCTTTGAGCATCTAGTGCGTATCAAACAGGGCATCTTCATGTACATTAATGCCTCGTTCAAGATACACAAAACGTTGAGCTGTTTTAGTTTTGCCGAATAGACAAAAAGGTCAGAAGTATAGAAGAAGCCAAGTCGAGCAGCTTCTCCAGAGTCCAGTCATGCTACTAAAAGCATGAGATGCTCCCTCTAGTCGTACAGTACAAGTTAATACCATAAGCAGGCATAGTGCACGGCGGCCCTCGTGTTTACCCTTTGAAGCAGTACAAGCTCATCCGCGCCATCACAGGAGGGGCTGGGCGCGATGCTGCCATGCAGTCAAGTACGAATCTGTAGCCTTAATCTACTAAATTGCTGGCTAAGCACTCCGCTCTCACTGAGTGAAAGATGCGCAAAATTTCGACATAGGCCCCAGACGTCGGCGCTTGCTGTGCTGTGCCAATGCTGCATTCATGGTTCCCTCGAGGCTCCCAGAAGAGATCATTATGCTAAGTCCATATTAGCTGCGCGGGCTGCTTGATGGCCTACACTGGCGCCCCGCAAAGCACAGCATCAACAATTGCCTCTCCGTTGCGTTTATCCAGCGGCGAGCCTGGATTTGCATGCACACAATCGACAACAGGGTAGACGCTAAACATTATTTCCGATGGCAAGTTTTTTAGGCGGCGCAGCGTCTGTGACATCAGGATGCGTTTCAATAGGTAAAGTGGCAGAAACCAAGTTGTGTGCTGGCAAAGACACACCTGCGGAAAGAGCTGGCCTCGCTCGTCCATAGGAGCCCTCGAGGATTGCTGATACAGCATCTGATGCTCCTGTTGCAGTAGCGCTACCTTATGGCAGCGTTCCCGCAACGCGAGTGAGGCGAGCGCGATCTGCTCTTCGTCAATGAGCTGCCTGAGTGTCCGCTGGTGATGGGGAAGATCTGAAGGGGCATTCCAATGAAAGGAGGGGCCACGGCTCATCCTTGTGTTATGCACCGCCCATGAGCTGTGAAATGCGCAGCCTTTGCTGCTACATTGATCTTTATCGCGGTTATCTGGAAGCAAGCTGCATGTCTTGCAGTCTGCCATCGACACAGCCCGGGCTGCATCACCAAACCGTGGGCCCTCCGTCGGGGACACCGCATCCGCAGTGGCAGGGAGCCTCATTATCAGAGTCAAGGGGCGGCAGAGCGCGCAGCAGGCAGCTACAGTGCATCTAACCAGTAGCGTCACCAAGGAAACCCTACGTGGTAGTGCTGACAAGGCTGTTTGGGGGAATGCAGCAATGTGGTCAGAAGCCACCTCCTCTACCGCACCGGTGGTCTCCTGCAGGGGCCTCTGACGCCGCTTAAGTCGCGCTTCGCTCTTCGCACCATTATAGACAAATACGGGTAGTGATGCAGGGGAATCCAAACCATCGGCAGCTACGGCGGCTGCAAAGAGCTGGAGCAAGCCCCGCCACCGTGAAGGCCTCGGGGGGCCACAGAATGGCGCCATCGTGTTAACTAGATGAGCGAGATGCTCTAACGGAGATGAACCAGTGACCTGATTAGTCATTCCAGGCGACGAAACCGTCGTGCTGTACGACGGTTGCCCCAGGACAAGCAGGCGGCCGCCCAGACCTTCAACAGCCTGAAAACGGAAACTCAGTAGGGGAAGCACACCTGGAGCTTTTGCATTATGTGGACCACAGGAAGTTAGAATGAGCTCCTCAAGTCCCCCAGCGAGACAAATCATCTACTGAGCAATGGGCAGCTACAACTTGCACTTAAAAGCCCTAAAGGCCCTTAGCATGCTGACGCACTAGGACGAGCTGAGTGGTCTTTCCGTAGGGCACGCGCCGGCACAGCGCTCTCTGCAACCAGCAACAATATGGCAGCACAAAATTTATCGGCATAAATCGACGTGAACGTGAGTACTCTAACTCCCAAAATGACAGCAAAGGACGGTCGGCTCGCAAGATCCATAAGGAACGACGGCCCGGTTCTGCAGCGTACATAGACCTGAAACGCAGCAGCACCTACGTGCGTGTTGGCAATGGTAAAGGCCTCTGATGGTTCCAGCCTCTGCAGCATTCTGGCATCGACTGCGTGTCCACCTTCTCCTAGACGAGGTTCCTGGGGAGCTTTGAAGGCAACGAGCAACAAGTGCAGGGGAATCCTCCCCTCTTCCTGTTGCTGCTGCATCTCTGCCATCCCAGACGATGCGCCTCGTGAGTGTCGGCCAGCTTGTGAAGCTGAAAGTGCCCGACCACTTCTGCTGGTGTCGGCAAACACATGTTCTTGCTTCGCAGAGGGAGCTTCATGTGATACAGCCAGAAGCACTACATAACGTAGTCGCGAGGCCTTGAGCCATTTGCTGGTCTTCAGAAGCCATGCAGCAAAGAGGCACTGAATGGCACATCCTTCGCTCCGTAGAGGCAACAGTTGAGGCGCTCCCGATGTCGATTCTGCAAGGGCTTCTGCTGTAGCTGGGCTTGGGGGATTCGCGCTAAAGGGGCCTAAAGAGCCCAGAAGCAGAACTTGTAAGACAGCTGCATGCAGGTGGTGCGGCAGAGCTGCAGCCGATCGAAATCCAAGAAGCTCTAGCACCTGCAATTTTAGAAGACGCACGCAAGCAGTCAAGATACGCAAACCAGTTGCTTTGCATCACAGCGCTCCACGTAGACGAGTGTGCCACATGAGAACGCCGGCTAGCAGCTGTTTCGGAAGACTTTGGTGCAGCAACAAGGACTGAAGTTTTGTCTAAAAAACAGGAAGCGGGTGGCTCGATGGCAACTTCATCGGGACGCAGCCCAGGAGCTTTGTGCACATCCCAGGTTCGGCCTCATGCTCTATTTGGAAAGCTGGATAGGTGCTGAATGGATGAGCACTGTCGGCAGGCGCGAGCCGCCTCCCCACATTTTAAGCCTTTAAAGAAATCTAGCTAGCACATGAGATCGAAGTAGTGAACCTCAAACCCTCACCATTTTAGCCTTGCGGTTTACCCTACAGCAGCTCGCCAGCAAACGCTGGAGGTCCGTGCCCTTGCCTCCGACGGTTTCACTCTCCATGAGCAGTCGATACTGTAGCGAATGTACATGGGAGCACGTGGCTGTAAAGGCCCACGCCAGAAGGTCGTGGGCAGTGAGTGCCTCGCGTCGTTCCCCAAGCGGTACGGGAAGGGCACCTGGTCACCAATCAACAAAAACAAAGCCGGTAAGCCCCTCTGAGAAACTAAGAGATCCTATGTAAGGCCAACGGGAGAAGAACCCTTATTTCTGTCGAACTCTTGAAGAAAATACGTTGAACGCACTGGTGGGTGGTATGAGATGGGTTACTGAACAGAGGCGCCCCGATAGGACAACGATAGCTCCCCCTTCAACACCAAAAGCGAGTGGAAAATCAAATGAATGCGAAACTATAAGTACTTCTACTGTGTTGCGTCCCCTGGGGGAAGTAGCAGCTCGAACAGAGATATTCTGGTAACCGGAAGCCTTTGGAGAAGGGTTGGAACTGGCGTAGAAACGGCAGCCTTTCAGGTCTCCTTGATCACTGCAGCACCTCTTCTGCAGCAAGCGACTGCTTCCTGGAGCAGTTGAGCTGAGAAGAAAGCAGAATCCGAGAGCTGAGTCTCTTCAATAGCGAGGTGGGAGGTTCGGTTGCAAAGGCACCGATGGATCGCGGTATTAGAGACAGACGGCCATGCGCGCTGGACAATAAACTAAAAAAGAGCGAAATAAGACAAAGTATCCATTAGAATAGTTGGTAACGGTTAACCCTGAGCCCTAGACCCTCAAGGCCTTTGTAGTCAGGACCGGCTGGTTTGTCTGCGGCACTGCAGCCGACCGCTTAGGCGAATTTCAAGGAGGCTTATGAGGGGATTCCTTTGCAATATACAATGAAAACGAGTTAGCAATAAACCATTTCGGAGAAAGAAATGAATGAAAAGACACTCCGGATACGAAGATTGTGCATGGGTAAATCTGACCGTGCGTGAGAAGGGGGAAACAACTGCGGCTGAACCCACCTTGTTGCCATTTCACCCAATCCACGTAGCATGTTTGCTGCATTACATGTGCTTTTTAGTTCAAGAAGGCTTTATTGATTGAGTTTTGGTCTTCCTGATTCCCTATGTAGAGCCATTTCACCCCTGGTCTTCAAACAACGCCGCAGGCATCTCAAGCCTGGAATAATTGGTACTGATTACTATCTGTCCAATGAAAGCTATAGGTGGGGGCTGGCCGTATCTGGCTGCAAAAGCATATCCAATTTTCAGCATGTGCTGCCCTGCGAGTACTTAGACCCTTGTGTAGCGTAGATTACACCCCACGATGTCCATGAATGTTGAACCGTTAGTTGGCTCCAGCATTGCCTTCCATGGGTCGAAGGCTGAAACTAGCCAGTGGTTTTACCAAAAAGAGCATTCGGGCGGCTTTTCGCCCTCAAGGATATGATCTTAGTCAATCTGAAGTGCACTCGTGTAGGACAGACAAGGAATTCTTTGGAAAACACTCAATGACTTTCTGCGAAGTTTTTTCCTGAGTCCTGATTGATCTTTACCCCAACGGATACCTTGAATCTACTGTTGCACCGAATAGCGTGGATAGCTGTTCCCCGCTGTTTCACTGGCTGTGGGTACAGTGGGATGTCCGGCTTTCTTGCAGCAATTGTCATGTATTCATAAAGTTATATGGCAGTTCAATAGCTTTGTTCCCTTCGACAACACTGTAGAAGAAATAAGCCCTCTTGCAGTGGAAGTAAAAGGCGGCGCGACGCTTGTTGGGGCGGCAGAGCCCAGCCTGCAAGTCAGTATACACGTAGGAGCTCCACTGGGGTAGAAAAGCATGATCTTTAAGTTGATAACATCTTATGGATGCACTGATGCGATCATACCAAACAGTATAGTGTGAAGGCCGCTCGAACATTTAATCAGCCGGATGTACATATACCTCGCTTGGCAGTCTCCACATGAGGAGAGACCAGTGTTCGTTGCGGATGCTCAGTGGCTGAAAAACGCTTAAGTGACTGCTCCACGCATGCAGAAGAGGTAATATTTCAGAAATTTCCGCAGGCAGAAAACCTTCATATAAGGGCTGACTCGTTGGGTTACGCGGAAATCAGGTCAACAGCAAGCTGTTGGAGAAGTAAGCAAATGTTGGCAAAAAATTTTATCAACAAATTGATATATCGGGAGATATAAGTGTTTGAATCTGCGAAACGTCGAAGGCACTCGGTTGCTTACTGCCTTATCATATGTCTAGCCTCAATATCACGTCAGGTTTTCGCAGGCAGAGCAGCGACTCAGAGATTTGCCAGCCACCAGGAGAGGATGCTGCAGAGGATGAACTGCCTGTTTCATGTTCGTGTAAACTGCCTGTTTCATGTTCATGTGAAGGCAACCCCAATTTTTTAAGATGATAATAGCGAGCCTTTTCGGGACTTAGAACATGCGAATGTTGGCTGTGGGGACCCCGATAACCAGCATCAAACTGGGTTCAGGGCTCAAACGATCATCATAAGGCCATACGAGGCTTGTTTGCACCCGAGTAGCCGCTCAAGCTGTAGGCCAGCTAGTTCCTCACTGGTCCTAGAGCATCCGTCTATAGGTCCAGGACTTCAACAAAACCCGCCATTGGAATGGCACTTTATGATAAGTTTTTGTGCTGTCCCGACCCTCCTAAGCAATATGGGAAAGAAAAGTCTCCAAATTTGGGCTTACAGTAGTAAGCCAAAGCTACATTGCCGCCTTGAACTGGTTGCTTCTCACTCGAAGGCGCTCTACGATCAATTACATTTAGAGAGCTGGGCCCTGTATGCTCAAAATCTATCAAGGCCATCAGATCCTGAAAAAGATTAGTGTAGATATGCGGTCATCTGTCACGGAGGTTCTATGGCTTGCAGAAATATGTGAGCTACTGCTACCAGACAGTTAAAGAAAGTGAAATATGTCAGACACTCAAACTACATACTAGTTCAGCAGCAGCCTCCGTTTCGCTCGGAGCAAGGTCTGCATGCAAATACAACCGGCACATGTAGCATAATCCCAGCCCCAAAAGAGGCACAAGCAGGAATTTGGAGGCAGCACATCTGAGAGTTCCTGTGCATAAGTCTGAGTGAGGAGTACATTTCATAAGTAGCATTGATATTTTAAGCAATACATGCACAAAAAGTAAGCTACTTCAGGTTTAGCATACGCTGAGGAGGGAAAATTACCAAGGAATGCGAATATTACCGTCGGTGGCGGCAACCGTTGTGTAAAAAAGGCACAGCCGCCAATTTTCCTGCTGGCAGTATGAAATAAGAATTACCCTTCAGCCACTGAGGTTGGCGTTGCCCAGCCCACTTTAATAGAACCTCCTGCTTACTGTTTCCTCGGAGCTCAGCAGTCCTAGAGTCCAGCACTTCCAAGGCTCCTTATTTTGTCCTCCGCCTTCTACGTAAGTTATTTGCCTGCGTGGCGAAGTCCGTGAGTTCTTCTGGTATCTTTGAGAGTTTTTCCGAAAAATTAAAGTTGGTAATTTTGTGGGACCTATAATTTGGGGGGAAACCATAGGGTAGGAGCAGGGATAGATTCGTGACAGAGTGGCACATGGCTTCAAAGGCCAGACCACAAACTTCCTCCAAGTGTTGCCTAATGATTCATCTCGTAAAGCATGTCGATGCGTCAGGACCAAAAATTCGAAGCTCGGAAATCATAGCTTACCGTTTTTATCATACTTCCATGCTTGTGTCTTTCCAGCTTTGCAAATATATTTGCTAGTTGGTTTTTTCCTTAATCTTTTCATTTCTTTGGGTGGATGCCCCCAGATCACTTGGTCCAGGCCCGGATCGTAGAAAGACCCCTCAGTGCAGACCTGGGATGCGGGAGAGCCAAGCACTGCCCGGTGAACAGTCGCGTCATAAACTCACACAGCACTAGGAGTAGGCTCAAGTCAAACTGCTGAATAATGATAACATTGAGTCGCAGATGCTGTACAAGTGCGGATGGTGTGCGCTGTTTGTTTATTTGCCAAGAAGGGGTTTCTCAGGCGTCATATTCCATGGCGTACACGCATTGCCCCAAAAACTGCTAAACTAGTGTAAATTTTGATTATCGTACACATTTTACCTGTTTGCTGTCTCATAGCAGAACGCTCATATGTTTTGCATTCCGATAACAGCGAGCCATAGCATCTGCGATCACGTTGGCTTGCCCCTTGCTGTGTAGTTGGCTAGGTGTGTCTTTCTCCCAGTTGGCTTTGCAACACCCTGACGCACGCAAAAGCCTTTCTTGTTTTTTTTGCGGGGTCCTGCTTACCTGGAGACTGGCGATTGGGCTAGTTTTCAAAGGGCTGATCTCGACGCACATTGAAATGCAACAAGAGGTCTGCTTTGAAATACTGGCGAGGTGTATTACACCAAGACAAATTTGGGTGCATTCTAAGAGGATGGTTTTATTTAGCTAGAAATTTTGAATAATTGACTTATTCCTTCGTCCACCTTTTTCTGGCAACAACTGTAAGCTCGATACAAAGAGTGTAATTCTCTCGTTAAAGTCTTTAGACGGAGACTCCAAGCGCCTAACTTGATATCAACTTCATAGAAAGCTGTTGAGAGGATTTTAAAACAATCGGCACTTCTTCTGCCCGCGGCTGTAGGCACTCTAGGTATAAGAGTTGACGGGCAGCTGGGTTGCGTACAGTTGCACCCTGTAAGCACTCCCAGCCAGCTGTGCGTAGCTTGTTGCAAACGCTACTCTTTGTGAGTATAAGCGATGTAGGAGAAAGTGGTAAAGTGTAGGTTTGATCTCCACAGTGGCCACTGTACTAATTGTATCAGTGAATTTGGTCAAGCAGTGGTTTTATGCTTTTGCTACTGTTGCACCTTGCTTCGTGCAGATAAGGGCTAGCGCTGACGTATATGAACATAAGAAGTGTGTCTGTGAGCCAAGTCGCCCTCTTCGAATACCCTGAGTGGAAAAGGTGCAGAGTCTTAAACAGTGGGCCTTTCACTGAGTGAGGAGCCCTAGAAAGTGAAGGAACGGCAAGGAAGATCGCTTGTTATATGACACTTATGTTAAAAATTATGAAGTATTGATGGAATATATCGGGCCGAGGGTCTCCTCAGGAATACCTTAGGTGGAGTGTTACAGGTCATTCACAGGCAGAAAGTACATCCTGCGTTGTGTAGTGCATATGAAATAATACAGCTGCTATGGACGGCCGCAAAATGAATCCCACTGATTAGAGACTTTTATCTCTAATGGCATTGCGCAAATGCCATGTACAGGCGCAGAAGCAGGATAGAGCATTCGGCGAGGGGGTCGCTGGCTAATTAAGAAAACTCAGCACCCAGAAGTCTGAGGGAAGATAAATGTTAGGGCTCCCAAATAATCTGCCAAACTTGATTATTCATCTGCATAGTTCCCTCAAAAGGATCAACACATCGTACATCTGAGGTAGTGGATGCACCGGACGGAGCTTTGCCTGACCCCAAGAGGTAGAGCAGGGGGGGAGAAGTACATCATTCCGATGTGTATTGGTATCAGTTACCCCTTAGAGCAAAGTAATGCACAAAATTTTGAACTATATGAGTAATAATACCGGCGGGGAGCTTATACGGGGGCCCACCTGCGGGGTGGTGTCAGTTCAGCTGCAGCAGCAGCAGGCTGCTGCGTGCAGCGGCCGCAGCAGCAGTGTGCGGATGAAGCGCCGTGCCAGCAGGCGGGTTGCGTGCTCACAGATAAGCATTTTTGAGCCTGTAGAGTAACCTCTGACGGCGAATTTTGTGTGTCTGAGCCCTAATTCTGGTGTCTCTTCCCGAAAATGATTGAGGACATTACGACTCTCCGTGAGGAGCATGTGTACCGCGCCAAGCTCGCTGAGCAGGCGGAGCGCTATGACGGTAGGTCTCTTTTTCTACGAGTTCACACCGCAATAGGAAGCATCTTGCACCGCTTATTTCATTATTTCATTCGTCTCCCTGGCTCTGCTGGCACGGGGTGCGGGGGAGTGTATCCACAGCCCGCCTTCTTGGGATGGCAGGTGATGGGTCGCAGGTGCGGCCAGCTGGGTGGTTATTTCCTGGCCTTGCTATTCAGCATCTGGGTCGTTCACCGTTTTCGGAGCTTAAGACACTTAAGGCCGGTGGAAAGGCGTCGATTCAATCCCATCAGCTCCGTAGGAATACAGGGGATGCGCAGCCGTAGCATCAAGAAGCCGCGTTTGCTTCAGCCCGAATGCAATTCTAGTGTATTTCTTTCTTAACAACTACCAGGAGTCCTCCAGCCAGCGTGTGAAGTATCTCATGTTACTCTATATTCGTCCCGAGGCGACATCGTAATCTCGTGGAATCAGGGCGTTGGAGTATGCGTCTTTTAGTGTTGATGCGCTGATTGTCGATGCTTGCAATTTTTGCGCCTGGAGCGGTCACAGTTGAGGGGTTTAATGATTTGTCTAATGGCCTAGTGGCGGCATCTATTACTGCATTTGTAGATGCCTGCGACCAGCGTTGCGTGGGGGCGAGAACTTGGAAACCCTGAAATACCTACGTCCAACGGGTGCTTCGGCTTGCGGTGTCTCTTGCGTGTGCGACGGAGTGTCACATGTGCCATTGCGTTCAATCATTCTCATCGATAGCTCTTTGCATATTTATCCCAAGTTTCCTTTGCATGAGTGCAGTATGATGGTAGCTATGCTCTTTCAGTTTATAAGAAGCTCGAGCATGGCTTGTTCAAGTAGAATGCTTGCTTTTCGATATCTTTCCCTCCAGTACTCATTGTGTGCCGCAGAGATGGCTGAGGCCATGAAGAACTTGGTGGAAAACTGTTTGGAAAGCGGTTCTCCCACCAAGGGCGACGAATTGACTGTTGAGGAGAGAAACCTTCTCAGCGTCGCTTATAAGAACGCCGTGGGTGCCCGCCGAGCAAGCTGGCGTATCATCTCGTCTGTGGAACAGAAGGAGGCTAACAGAAACCACATGACCAACAAGGGACTTGCAGCGGACTACCGGCAAAAGGTCGAGAATGAGCTCAACAAGATTTGCCAGGAGATCCTTACCCTGCTGAGCGATAAGCTGCTTCCACGTACCACTGTGGGTTCCTCCTTATTACACCTGTCCAACACCATTTGTGGAATATGTTGGCATCCCCGCAGAACATGTTTCTATGCTGCTGGTCCGGTCCATTCGCGTACACTTGCAACTCAAGCTCGGTTATGGTGGGGCCTTTTTTGTATCAACAGGTGTATCAAGGCTTTTGTGTAATAGTTCGCTCCCTAGGATTAACGTGAGTACCTTGTATATTTGCAGGATTCCGAGAGTCGCGTGTTTTACTTCAAGATGAAGGGCGATTATTACCGTTATATATCCGAGTTCAGCAATGAAGAGGGAAAGAAGGCGTCGGCTGAACAGGCAGAGGAGTCTTACAAGAGGGCGACTGAAACTGCAGAGGCAGAACTCCCCTCAACTCATCCTATCCGTCTGGGTCTTGCGTTGAACTACTCCGTTTTCTATTACGAAATTCTGAATCAGCCACAGAAGGCCTGTGAAATGGCCAAGCTGGCATTCGACGATGCAATAACTGAATTCGACAGCGTAAGGCTCCCTCTGTCCATCCCCGCTGCCGGATTTATAAAGTGAGACTTTGTGGTGGGTGGCTGTAGCAGCTTTGGAATATTTCGTTCCGTAGTATGGGTTGGTGTATTCAGGTATCTGAGGATTCATACAAGGACTCGACTCTGATCATGCAGCTGCTGCGTGACAATCTGACTCTCTGGACCAGCGATCTGCAATCTCAGGAACAGCAGCAGCAGCCTGTGGGTGAAACCGCAGAGGCGCCCAAAGTGGAGGCTACGGAGCAGCAGTAGGCTCATCATGTCTCCCTGTCGCAAAATAGCGCCGCCGGCGGCGTTTACTCTCATAACTTGTTGGTATTAGGGCTTGCAGTTTTCGGGATTAGGATAATTTCCCGTCGTGGTGGACGAGATGGATGCATATGGCTCAAAGCACATTTTGTGGAAGGATGGCGCGCACAGCATGCACGGAACTTAAAACGAGCATGGATAGTATTGGACTTCAAGAAAGCAATTCACAGTCACCGCCTGCGCGCGGCCATAGATAATACTACCGGCATTGCATCGACGTTTTGATGCACCGTACATTATCAGTCGGGCAGAGAGGTATCCGTGTATTACATTGTTCGCTTCCGCTGTTTCACGGTTACACACACAGCAGCCGATTACGCATGGCATTTTAACGCTTGCACCGTCACAAGCAGCAACGTATGCTAGTATTCCCATGTCAAGCTTGCCAACGTGAGACAGGGAGATGGGACGCATGCCAAGTGGCGTGCTAAATGATCGCGCATGGAAGCAGGGGGCGTAAACAGCTATGGTGCAGTGGCTGCAAGGTTGCTCCTAAATCAGTTCCAGTCAGGCTGCCGCAGGACGGCTTTTGTGCCAGTGGCAAAAACTATGGCTTGGCCGTGTCTGGAGCAAGTCCTTTTTGGGGGGGGTAATACTTCGGACCGACTCCCGAATATCTCCTCATCTGCCTCTGCTGGGCAGCGAACGCGAACTGGAATACGTCGCCTGGATGTTTCGGTGCTACATTATAAACTACTCACAGGCACGGCTTTGGCGATCAGTAGGCTAGCTCGACTTCTATTGGTTTAGCCCGATAGGATTTCCATTTTTGCATAGTTCAATTGTAGGCGGCAGGACGAAACGGGTTGGGTACCTCTTCGGTCTCGTCGGCCGATGTACTTACTTATTCGCATCTGAGTGGTAGGGTGCGTCAAGGATCTTGGGTTGATGACAACTGAGGACATTCTCTAGTGCGAGCATCAGGGGCCTTCTGTGAGGGAGCGGCACGCCCGCAGGTCGAGTGGTCACCTGTTTTGCGTTTGTAGCTTTTTCCTTGAGCTTATTTGAATACCTTTTCTATATTAGGCTCGACCGGATAGTCAACGCTGTGGAAATAGGGCTGCTGTCGGAGGAACTGCGCCAACATGTCTCGCCCTAATCGCATGCGACCAGTACTTCTGGGAAGAAATATTACGTGGTCTTGCCTTTTCGGGCATCAATGGCTTCCGAGGAAGACGTACAAGTGAACTATGTAGCGATCTCATTGTAGTTAGCGCATCAAGCAATTTGTTCATTTTGACGTGTGCTGTGGAAAAGCGGGGGGAATGTGTACACTTCTATCAGTACGGAGCGTTGCTATCATCACTTCGATAGATCTAAGCAAAAAGTGTTCTGCCTCATTTAAGGCCTGTGAAACGTGAACGGTTGATATAGAGGTCCCAATGCCTGAATACTCGTCAATATTGACAAAAGCCTTCCGGGGACAAACAAACCTACATATAAGTACAACGACCTTCCTGACTAGAATGATGCGATATTAAACAAGAAGTGCGGGGCAACATACCTGAGGACATTCGTTGTGGGGCAATAAACAAAACCATGCTTAACAGTTTCAAACCGAAGGTGCAGGGTTTTGATATAGAACACTGTCATGGGGAGGCTGGAAATCAGTTAGCAGGATCATGAATAGTTTTGTGTAGGTAGGGATAGTAACGCCAAGATTTGCGTAACAGCATGTGCGGCGGTAGCAGTCGACACTTTCCCAAGCAGGCTAACACAAACCACATGATACCAAAAGACTATAGCGAGTATCTGAGCGTTTTTACAACGTCGGCATCATGTACAACACTGCGGGCTGAGAACAATCACCGCGCCTTTTGAATGTTCACCACCCAGGAAACTAAAAGCTTGTTAGCGTGTGCTTTATTCTAATAGTAAAAGTACGTATATGCTTGCTTCAGACGTAGGCCGGGTCATTAGGCGTAAGCTCCTTGCGTCGCACCGTAGCTGTACCCCTCACCGAATTCTGCAAGTAGTTATACATTCCACAAGCACAAAGCGATAGTAGACTATGTAACATGAGAACTAGAACATCTATAGAGCATCTGACCGCTGCAACCACCCTTACCTACTATCCGAATACAGCTATACACGGAACTTTTAGAGGGGCTGACTCCCTACTGGCCCATAGATTAATATCCAAATCACTGCGGTTTTGTCGGGTGCTTACGCCCTTGGTTTCCCCATAGTTCATCCTCTTCCTCATGTAAGTCCTTTCTGATAAAGCGCTTATAGAGGCACCCTGAACAAGGAAACACCACACAAGACACACTAATATATTGGCCTCCCCTTCTTTCCCAGCCCCTATATCAGTAGCACTTCGTCTTAAAATGTATTTATCCTGCTATAGGGTCCGCGCAAATGATATTGTAAGACCCAGAAGTCATGACGAATTCCAGTTCCCCTGCTCAAACGCAGGTCGCACGGTGTGTGTGTGTGTGTGTGTGTGTGTGTGTGTGTGTGTGTGTGTGTGTGTGTGTGAGTGTGTGTGTGTGTGTGTAGATGGGGAGAGCATATGTCAGAACGAGATTCACAAGAGGCGCTCGGACCCTGTCTTCGGCTTGACAAAAAAAGATATATGCCCCTGCTGTTCACTCGTGTACTGTCCCTCGTTATCTCCTTTGATCTCTGCTTCCTTGTCACTGGCTCTCTTTCTCGGTTGCTGTGTATCGTTTGCACTTGAGTGTGGTTTTTTTTTTTTTTTTTTTTGTGGTGT